ATTCCTGCTTGGCCCTACTATGATCCTTTATTTATGTTACCAAAAAGGTCACTGCAGGATCAATCAGGTTATGAGGGAGAGATTTTGTTTTAAGGACACTAGAGATGGGACCTCGGCTGATGTAAATAGTGCCATTGGCTTCAGATGAGCTGTATCAGTTAACACTAGCTAATGATCTATCACGGATTTCATCAGTAATTACTAGCAAACATAGCACCAAAATTAAGTGAATGGGTGTTGGTTTTAATTCTGAAAGAATAAAATGTCCCCCAGTATGGAATGCAATAATAGAAAAGAATGGAAAATGAGGTCAAATAATTATTTCTTTCACTGGAACTTTCAAGACGCTCTTTTTATCATTTACAGAGATGCTCCCTATCACTACCATTATTAAATCCACAAAGCAACCCAGACATTGGTTAGCAATGTAATAGTGTAATCTTGGCCTGCTTTGTACCATCAGGACTGACCAGCTCCTTTTTTCATTTTACATTCAATTTCCTCTGAATTTGATTTTTTTTTAGTGTACTTGAAAGAAATATATTTAATGTTGCAGTAATAAAAGCTTTTCAATCAATTGCAGCTACTTTGTGCTACAGCGTATGATATTAAAAATCTTCTAACAATTTAATTTTCTTTTCACAGGTATAAGAAAAATCTTAAAGCGCTCTATGTTATACATCCAACCAACTTCATAAAAATTCTATGGAACATTTTTAAACCTCTCATAAGGTATAGGTGATTTCATTCGTTTCCTATACAGGTTAGGGGACTGTTTGTCTTTAGCAGTGTATTTAAAAAAAATACGTAATAAAATACCAAGCAATACTAAAAACATTTTGACTGTGGCTTAATGTAATATATTTTTAGAGTGAATCAAAGTGCTAAGTCAGTTTTGGATATTTTTTTTCCCATGGAGATTCAGAGGTCTTAATTCAGCAGAGCACTTCAGCATGTGTTTCATTTTAAGCACATCTTATTCATCAAAGCACTCAAATGTGGATTGAAATAAATGTGACTGAAGCACGTGGTTTGATTGTAAGCTCTTTGGGGCAGGGGCTGTCTTTGTGTTTCTACAGCTGCTAGTAAAATAGAGCCCCGTGACCCATCACTGGGGCTCCCAGGCACTACCTCAATACAAATAATCTACTATCTATTTGAGAGAGGTTGTGTGTGTGTCCATGCGTCCGTCCAGCTGTCTGTGAGTCTATTTGTTCAAGACCTCCTCCTAAACGGTAAGAGCTAGGACCACCAAATTTGATAGGCAGCTTCCTTTTATTCTACCTGAAAGCAAGGTCAGTGTTTGGTTGTGCCACGATGCGATCCTTTCTCATCAAACGGAAAGGGAGGGCTGGGATAGCAGAGGACAGTTATACTACAGAATGAACTTGGGGGGCAGCAAGCATGGGGGACAGTTATACTCCACAATGACCCTAGAGGAGAAGTAAGGAAGCGAGTCCTTGACAGCTCTGTAGAGCAGCCACCGTCTGGACAGTGCAACCCCACTGCCCTCACCAGATTAGTGGAGAAGATCCCCACCCAGCCCAGGAGAGGTCTCTGCCTCCCTGACAGCCCTGGAGAGCCACAGAGCAGCTACCCCAGCCTGCACCTGGGAGCAGCCACTGGCTGTGCAGCATGGCCCCCACCACCCTGTTCTGGCTCTGAGGACCAGATTCTGGCCACCTCTGCCCTCAGTCCCCCTCACACACACAGACCTCCCAACCCTCTGCCCTAAGCCCCCACCATATCCCCAAGCTCCTGCCCTGATTCCTGCACCTCCCCCACCCTGAAGGACCCAAGCAATACCAAGTAAATCTTCTAGTAACTAATAAATTACCTGTACTGTTGAGTATGTGCTCAAGTGCTTTGATGAATGGAAACAAGATTACTCACGTGTTTCAAATTAAACGTATATTTAAATCAGGGGTGGCAAACCTAAGGCACAGGGGCCAGATGTGGTCCCCGGCTTGCCTGAATCCGGCTCTTGAGGCTCAGGGCTCCTCCCACGCAGCATTGAGGATCCCACGCTGGCACTACAGCCCCTGCTACCTCTCGCCCAACTGAGCTTTCTGTGGGTCAGTGGCCCCAAAAAAGTTTCCCCACCCCTGACCTAAATGCTTTGATTAATCTAAGATCTAGCAAGTTGGAAGGACAAAATGACTTTGACAAATTGGAGAGTTGATCTGAAATCAGCAGGATGAAATTCAGTAAAGACAAGTCCCAAGTACTTCACTTAGGAAGGAGAAATCAAATGGACAACTACAAAGTAACTGCAGTGGGAGTTTTGCTGAAAAAGATTATGGGCTGTAGTGGATCACTGTTGACACCGATTCAATCAATCTGATGCAGTTGCAAAAAAGGGGTAACTTTCTGGAGTGTACTAACAGGAGTGTTGTAAAACACAGGAGATAACTGTCCTCCTCTGCTCAGCATTGAGGAGGCCTCTTCTGGAATACTGGACCCAATTTTGGGCACCAAACATTGGAAAAATGTGGATAAATTAGAGAATGAATTAGAGCAATGAAAATGATAAAACATTTAGGCTACATCTACACTGCAGTGCTATCCGAAATAGCTATTCCGCATCTTTTGAGCATGCCCATTATTAAATATAATGGGCTCACTATTGCGATGTCCCTGTAAGCCTTATTCCACAAGGAGTAAGGGTCGTTTCGGAATAGTGATTTATTTTGAAAGAAGTGCTGTGTAGACTTCTGCATATTGAGTGGATGTTTTCAGAGAACTATTCACAATGACTCCAAAATCTCTTATTTCAAAATAAGCTATTTCAAAATTACATTGAAATAAAATACTCAATTTGCGTAGCTCAAATTGTGTATCTTATTTCAACCTACAACGCAGTGGAGGTGCACCCTTAGGAACCTTGACCTATGAGGAGAGGTTAAAAAACCTGCATGTCTAGTCTTGAGAAAAGGGGCTTAAGTCTTTAAATTTTATGCAAAGGGCTGCTTATTAAGAGGACAGTGATCAGTTGTTCTTCATGAAGGTCGAATAAGAACTAATGGTCTTATCTGCGGTAAGGTTTAGATTAGATATTAGAAAAAACTTTCTGACTATAAATATACGTAAGTACTGGAATGGGCTTCCAAACAAGGCTGTGGAATCCTTGTCACTGGAGTCCAGTTTGGACAAAAGCCTGTCAAAGATGGCTAGGTTTACTTGGTCCTGTCTCAGCACAGGAGGCTGGCCTTGATGACTTCTTGAGGTTCTTTCTAGCCTTGCATATCTGCGATTCTGTCTCTAATTCTACATGAATTTGCACAGTGACTGACTTAACTACTGGAACCAGAAGGTAACTTTAGGATTTGGTGCTTACTGCACATATCTATCCATACAAAACTTTCTCTGAATCTCCAATCTATGCAAATTATTTCTGCTAGAAGCTGGAACAATCTTTCATATGCATGGGGGATGGAAGAGTGGTTAATGAAGCTACACTGAGTTAACATCAGTGTGTACTGAGCAACAAAATGGCAGATGAATTTTAATGTTGATAAATGCAAAGTAATGCATATTGAAAAACATAATCCCAACTATACATATAAAATGATAGGGAACTAAATTAGCTATTACTACTCAAGAGAGAGTTTTTGGAGTCATTGTGAATAGTTCTCTGAAAATATCCACTCAATATGCAGCAGCAGTCAAAAAAGCAAACAAAATGTTATGAATCATTAAAAAAGGGATAGAGACTAAAACAGAGACTATCTTATTGCCTCTGTATAAATCCATGGTATACCTACATCTTGAAGACAGCATATAGTTGTGGTTACCTCATCGCAAAAAAATATCTTGGCATTGGAAAAAGTTCAGAAAGGGGCAACAAAAATTATTTGGGGTTTGGAATGGCTGCAATGCAAAGAGAGAGTAATAAAACTGGGACTTCTTAGCTTAGAAAAGAGGAGAGTTAAGGGAGGAGAATGATAGAGGTCTATAAAATCATGACAGGTGTGGAGAAACTAAATAATGAAAAGTAGGAAAAGTTATTTACTTGCTCCCATAACTCAAGAAATAGGGGTCACCAAATGAAATTAATAGCAGATTTAAAAGAAACAAAAGGAAATTTATCTTCACAGAAGGCACAGTTATCCTGTGGAACTGCTTGCCAGAGGCTGTTGTGAAGACTAGGACTTTTACAGGGTCCAAAAAAGAACTAGATACATTCATGGAGGTTAAGGTCCATCAGTGGCTATTAGCCAGGATGGGTAGGATTGGTGTCCCTCGCCTCTTTGTATCAGAAGCTGGGAATGGGTGACGGGTGGAATCACTTGGTGATTACCTGTTACGTTCATTCCCTCTGGGCATTGACCACTGTCAGAAGACAGAATGCTGGGCTAGATAAACCTTTGGTCTGACCCAATATGGCCATGCTTAAGTTACTCTTCTAGTGTAATTGCCTCCTAATTTTTGGGACTGTGTGGTTTATACTTATTTATTTAAAGTACTCACTCCCTTCTGAGTTTGATAATATGTCTACAATTAGATGAATATTGTTCTGGGATCAATGGTTTTAAATTAATGTGCCTACTGAAATGTGTGTAATATTAATATAATGTAATCATTCATATCAAATGGACTATTATGACCAAGGATGTAGCTACTGCTTCTGACTGTTATGTTCAAGTTTTCAGCATGATGCATTATTCTTCCGTTCATTTTATTTTTAACGTTCTGCATTTTAGATCTAACTATGTAAATGTTTCCTATTACAATTTTGTTAATATTCTTTTTCAATAATATGTGTGAACAAAATTTAAAAACAATAACCCTGAAACCAAGGATCAGTGTAGAAGAAATTGCAAGTATCTTATACATTCTACAGATGAAGACAGTTTGGGCTCCAAAAACTAGAAAGAAGCTTTTTCTGCTGCAGGTTATTTAAGTGTTACATACTCTCCCTTATGCTTCTGTTGGAGGAGGATTCCACAGTCTTTAAAGTAACATAAAATGCAGGAAAGGATATTTAAAATCAGGAGCATCTGCAAGTCTGTGTCATTAGCTAAATTGTAAAACATCCAGTTCCAGACAGTAGAGCTCTTTCTCTTTATTAATGCCGTATTGCTAGTGGGTTGTATTCTCATTAAAAATGGAAACCTACATATACAGTATATAACATTAATTTAACAGTATAATACGCTTTAGAAATTTTCTGTATCCTTCAGTGTACCTCCGCTTTCAAATTATTTCAGAGTGATTTCATGTTGGCAGTTTTATACTTTTATTTAAAAGTCAATATCAGCCACAGTCCACTAAAGGAAAGAGGGATATCAGAGTTTGTATTTCATAACTTCTGCTCAATTAACCATAACTCAAGAAAATAACATTGCTAATGTTTTTTCACAAAAATAATGAATAAAGTTTTAATATTATAAGTCCGATACCTATGTTTGCACTTGAGACTTGTTTTAGGAGTGCAGCATAGATGTATTTGCATGAACAGAGCATTTGCTTAGAAGCAAGTGGATAATGATGTAATGTGGTCAGAGAACAAAAGTGATAAGAAAGTGCTGAATAGTTGTTTGAATATATTTAAGTAAAAGGTTAATATTTATTTGACATTTATTGAGCCGCAGTAGAAGCTGATTGATCTCTTGAGACTGGCAAAGAGGGCTGTTAATAATTCTAAGCATACCCAAAAATCTGATATGAAGGGAGGAAAGGGTGGTGTTTTCTATGGATTAATTAGTAATAGTCATGAAACAGCAAAAATAGCTTAATATAGCCTCATTCAACAACGATGATGTAACAGTTTTATAGAACAAGAAAAATTCGTGACTGCCTGTGAGTGAATCGCAGATTGCCAATTTTGTAAAATTGTATTGCTAGAGTGATTTCTGAAAGACATTACTTTTTTCTTTAATGCAGTCTGTAGTCCAATTAGCTAATTGCATGGCATAAACCATTGACATTATAGACCATACTGAAAAAAAGCATGCTGAAAATCAGACCAGATGAGATGGTACATATCTATGAAATCTGTTAATGTTGCATAACTACTTCTCTGCTAGCAAAATCTAGCACTTCCTTTAAATTAGTATCTTCAAAATTACAGTATTAACTTTTTAAATTCATACTTTCCTCCAGTAGAGGGAGCTTGTGTATATATGTTTGATGGCTTGGTAATGAGCCAGTTACTGCAAGAGTATTGCTCTCCCAGTTCTCTGTGAGAAGTAATTTACAGAAAACAGAAGTGTATTTTATCTCACATTTCTGTTGATTTTCTTTAATTTTTATTTCAAGATAAATTTTGTTTTACAAAAAGAAATATAGTTCAGAAATATAATGATGAATGTACAGGTAAACCTTACTTTGAACACCTGAGCCAGTAAATGGGCCTTTACAGACTAAATTTTGAACTTTGACTATCAACAATTAGTGTAACAATCTAGGGGATCCCATTTTTTTGACTCTTTATGGGGGTATTGTTTTTCAGAACACATCCTTGAAAAATCAGGCCTTTTAAGGTGTCTATAACTTAGCATCCAAAACCTGAGGCACCTAAAATGCAGAGTCATTCTTGGAAAATTTAGGCCTTCCATTTATTAGATTATTAATATCTACTGTTCTTCTGTTTTCTCGTTCAATGGAGAGCAAAATTAAAGTGACACATAACGTCTTTCTATCATCAACATGGCATTCTTTCCAGAAGTTTACATAAAAAGTGTTCTGTTGCATTCCTTTTTTCAAAAAGTTTTCTAGTGCCTTAGTGAAAGCTGTTGTTCAGCAGTTCTCAAATGAATATTTTTCATATCTATGCAAATTGCTAAAGATTCAGTTGGAAGCCAGTTTTTTTTTTTATTCAAATCAGACTCTCAGGAATTCACTGTGTATGTTTGATCATGTGAAAATTAAATACATCTTGTGTCTCCAGCTGCTTCAGTTATAATTTAATTTTGAGTTTCATTTGCACTTACATTCTGCAATAGAAAACAAACTTTTCATTGATGTTCCTCCCATGCTGATTATGCAATTTTTTCTACTATTTTGTTTAGTCATAAGTTTGGGAAAAAGATCACCTATTTGAACTATTTAAGTGACCTGAGAGAGCATCTCAAATATGACCAGCTTAATATCCCTGAAGATGTTATTCGGTATGTAGCATGTTAATAACATCTCCTGTGATGTGTTCTGAAATAGAGAGTTGTCTAATATTTGTTGTTTTTTAAATAAGATCTAAACTAATTTCTTTAACAAGTAAAAGTCTAATTTGCTATTTGTCCTTGGCTAGATTTGGCTCTGAAAGCTTCATTGTCATCAAAGAAACCTGTAAAGAGGTTAAATGTTTACAAAAGAGAATATTGTATAGTTCTCTACCAGTTTGGAATATCCTCTTAGCCTCACGTGCAAAGTATTTTCTTAATATAATGGTAGTTGCTGTGTCTTCGTTAACAAAACCATATGACATTATTATTTATGAAAGGTGCATACAGTTTATTTACTGTATGTCTGCATAATGCTGTTTTATTGAGAAGAAAAAAACCTGACCTGTTATTCTGATGTCCTAGCAGAAGATGATTTTATGTCACTGCTGAATGAAAATAACCAGAAGCTTTTTATTATGAGCATCAGTGCTGTGTGGGGGTTTTGGACACCTTTGTATAAATATGCAATAACAAAAAGCATAGTACAGTTTTGTGTTTGTAAAAAGAATTGCAAGGGGGGAGTTGAACAGTTGAGTAGCAACTGTAATTGAGTTTTGCTTTTAAATTATAGGAGTGTTCCTATCTCTTGGACATGTTTATTACTATATTTTATTGATTGAAGCAAAACAGCTCTTTCATGTGTTACTTAATGATTCTCCCACAAATGCTTTCATATATCTCACAAACAGTACAATTAAAAATAACTGGAGGTATTTGTGGGTCTTGCAGAAGATAGGCATTGTGAGAAATAGATTGTTCAATCAATACGTACTGTAGTTTCACTCTTAATATGTACAAAGTCACTTTTTTGTGGTTGTTTTCAGACATGATGAAAATCTTCGGGGTAAACGGAAGGGAATACCTCCACCTTCAGCTAAGATTCCTCCACCAAGACCTCCTCTTCCTACCCAGCAATTTGGGGTCAGCCTACAATAGTAAGCTGTGAGATTTCTTTGATTGTACCTCTGAAATAAACTCTGGAATGTACTGTATTGTATCTCTCTGGATTCATATCCCACAAAATCTGTAAAATAATTTACCACTGAGGGCTTTTTCCTCTTTCTATGTTATTCTCTATCTTTCTTTCAAAACAGTTGAAGCTGATAACTGTAAGGTCCGGTAGTAATGTCTGGTGACATCAGGTAAGTCTACACTGAAAAAAAATCTGCAGGAGTAAATCTACAGCTATAAGTTCATGGGACTTGCACTACAGTGAGAAAAATAGCCATGTGGCCATTCCTATGTGGACTGTTGCTCTGTAAATATTTCCAAATTTATTATTGACTTTTTCATTCACTATAGGTAAGGGTCAGAACTCCTCCACTCCCCCACCAGGGAATTTCCCTTGGCTCCCAGTACGGGATTTAGATTATGCTCAGGCTACCAGAATTTAACAACTGTGTCTCTTGTCCCCAGTTCAGTGAGGGGTGAAAACCAAAGTTGTCTTTATTGCCTCAGAGAGGCTCATAGTTCTGCTACGTGCAATGCATTTCTGCTCCTTTCCCAGCCAAACTTGACAGGCACAAGAACTCCAGCTTCAGAAGTAACTTATGGAGCATGTGAAGAGACTTCAGTCAGACCCTGACCATGGGTATTCCCTTGTTCACTGATGTCCAGTACAGAGGAAGTTTGTGCCTCCAACCCTTTGATGTCTGAATCAGGAGTGGGAAGGTATAGAAATAAAGATCCTTCACTTGTATCTTCTCAAGAGATCAGAGGACATGCTCATAAACCAGAGCTCCTTCTAAATCCACTTTGAAGAGGAGGGATCCCTGCCCTTGTCAGGTGAGTCTTCACGCCCAGGCACCAAGGACTTATGCTCTCCTAAGCCATGTTGCCATAATCAGAAAGTGCTTTGTGAGAGACATTCATTGGTGGTACCAACACAATCACGTAAAGGAGTGCTGACCACTAGAACCTTTTGCACACTGATACCAGCTCTGCAAGGTGCTAGAGAACTCCACAACCACTGAGGGGAGCAGAGACTTAAACCTCTTTGGAAGATATTTTCATCCTCCTGTACCCACAATCTGCCCTGTTACCAGGGCTGAGTCTCTCCTTTAAGAGTTGGGGACTCTAAAGGGAAAAGTCCAGCCCATCTGCCCGCCATCGCTTCCAGACTTCAGTGGCACCGCTGTTGGGGCTGGACCCAGCCTTTTCATCATCAAGGGAATCAAAAGTGACAGGAGAGCCATTGTCACTTCCACCAAAGGTGTTTAGCTCAAAAAGACATTTGGGGATTTCCTGAAATCAACCTTTTCCAACCAAACCAGGACTTCCTCCTCAGGATCGGAGTTCCCCAATGCCTTGGAGCCCTCCACAACACCTCTGTAAAGCCTTATTGGATCTGTGGAGCCTGGACACACAGCCTGTGTGCTCCAACCGGAAGTCTTATCCCTTCTCCCAATCAGAGGTCAGCAAGATCCAACAACTGGAGGAGGAAGATGGTAAATCAGAATTGATACCATAGGGCAGGGGTTCTTAACCTTTTTATTTTCACACCTCCTCTGAAAGTGAACTTCATGTTCACACCCCCCTGGGAGCCATTTTGTGCACAGCTTAGCCCCACCCCCTCACCTGACAGGAAACTAGGGGGTGTGGCCAGGACTATAAGAACTCTGCCAAGGAGCTCAGTCAGGGCCCAGCCTCTGAGGGAGACAGAGGCCTGCCCAGAGCTCCTGACTGATGAGGCTGAAACCTGGCCCGGGCCTCCCACAGCCGCCTTCCCTCAGGCCAGCGAAGGCTTCCCTGCCTGGGCCGCTGAGGCCTGGCCAAGCTGGCCATCAGGGCTACCCTCTGACCTAGAAGAACCCAAGGCTCTACTGGTGGCTGGCAATTCGGAGGACCGGCCTGAGCTTAAGGCCCGGCTCGAACCCCGAGGCCTGCCTGAACCCTGGAACCTGGCGAACCAGCTGGATGCTGGACGCAGCCGTCTGAGCTAATTCCCAAGTCCGATGGCTGGTGGCGCTGTGGGGTGAGTGAACCCCATTACAATGCCTAAATGAATAATATGAGCTTTTTACTTTGAACCTTTTCCTAATAAATTTACATAATGTTTGAAGATGAAAGTCAGCAATGCTCACGTACTGTTATTGTACTGTGTCGTTACATAGGCCTGATTGATTCGTACTGCTATTGTAGTGCACCGATCTCTCGAAGTTAATAAGAAATTAATGTTTATAATTTTAATTCATAATATTAATTATGAAGAAATCTAAACTTTAGAATTTTATCCAGTGAGAAGGCAATTGTGATAAATTTTCTGGGAGGCACCTCGCACCTCACTGGTTAAGAACCCCTGTAATAGGGATTATCTTCCTCATCTCCTGAGGAGATGCTTTCTCCAGCTTCACTCTGTCCTCCAGATAACCATAGACTATTCCAGGATCTGTTATGGAGAGGGGCAGATAAGCTTCAGATCTCCTTGGAAGAGGTTCAGGATACATGACATAAGCACCTGCACATCGTACAGCTGACAGATCCAGCTTTTGGTGGATAGTGCTTTTGGTGAATGAACCCATGCTGGAACCAGCAAGCGCCATATGACACATGCCAGCAACTTGTGTCCCTGTCTCCAATAAGGCAGAAAAATGATACTTTGGTGCTAAATAAGGGAGCAGAGTTTCTGATTACCCACCTTGTCCTCAACTTTCTGGACATTCAGGTGGTCATTGAAAGATTCAGACAGCAAAATGCAAGAACTGCCCCCTATAAATAAAGGGGACAAACATCTGGAACTCCTACAAAGAAAGGTAGTTACATCAACCGGCCTCTGATTTAGAATATCAAGCTACCAGGCCCTGCTGGCCAATTATGATTTTCATGAACAATTCAAAGTTTCTAGATTCCAAAGAGAAACTCCCTCCAAAGCACATAGCTCAATTTCAAGTCTTTATTCATAGGGGTAAGTTGGGGGCTAGAAGTTCACTGCAAGCCATAGCTGAAGTTGCTGACAGAGCGACAGAAACAATGGTGATTGCCATAGCTGTGTGCTATGGCTTATGGCTATGCACTTTGAGATTCCTGGGAGAGATCCAAAATATGGCAGAGGACTGTGATAAAACTAAACTCTTTAGCAAAAAGATAAGCCTTTGCATTTGTTAAAAGACTCTCTCAGGCAACCCTCCACTCGTGGGCTGGTGTTTAATTGAACCCAAAGAGGGAATACCATGAGTAGCAATAAAAGCCCATGCCCTGGCCACAGCCCTTCTACCACCAATGAATTTACAAGCTGTCCCATAAAGAGCAAGGGATGCAAAAATCTAGGTGCGCAGCCCATGCACCCAACTTCACACCCCCCTGCCACTCACAACCAAACTTTAGATGAGTTGCTTGGAAATTGCAAATCCTGATGCCATCTCCACCCAATTTCACTGTCCACTTTGGCAGGTGTCTG